CGACAGATCAGACTGGAAGCAAGCACTGGCTCAAGTGCATCGCTGGGCGTGGACAGAGTGGGAGAAGGCCAAACCTGAAAGGCAACTGCCGCCTCATTGTCAGCCTGGCACTATCCCTGAGGCTGTCCTGGAACGCCTTGCCCCGATTATCGACGCAATGCCTCCGCCCACAAAGTATGCCAAGTAGCCTCTTCAGTTTTTTTTGGTGATAAACACATCACAGGGGAAAACATGTCAGCAGGTTGCAGATTTCTGTCAATGTCATGTATGCAAGTATCGTGTTCTTAGCTTCAAGTCTTCGGTCGATTCAAGAAGTCACAGGGAGTGAGTTCATCCAGCCGAGTCCAATGTGTGTGAATCTGCTCCTGCTGTCATAGCGGCAACATGTTCGATTCACAATTTTGGCTTCAGCTTGTGCGCAGTTGCTGTTCATTCTGTGATTGAGTCTTTACAGTTACGTTGCAATTACAGTTGCTGAATGCCTGAAGTGTGCAATTGAAGATGACATGACATGAATCATGAAGTCTCACCATAGTTATGCTGCAGATTGCTCGGGGAGAAAGCGATCAGCAAAAACAAGCCTTCCTGACATTGTGTCCTGTTAGTTTGTGGAATGTGCTTGATATGCCAGGCAAGCATTGAATCCATTTGTTGCTCAAGTTGGACCAGAGGTATGGTTTAAAGTTATGTGGGACAACAAATCAATGTATTGATGTCAGTGAATCACCAACATGTCCAATTTCCAGTGGCCGTGCCAGCATGTGCTGGGATCATCGCTGGTCTTCAGTGGTAGTGCTGGGCCTGTGAAGCCAGCACGCAAGAAATGCAAAAGGAAAAAGAATGCTGCAGAGTCATTTGAGTTGGGAGGTAGATCAGTGGAGCGCCCGTGTACTCTTCCTGCCTTGAATTTTACCGATACAGTTACAGGAACTGATGAAATTGATGATCGGTTTGACACTTGGGTAGAGGACGTCTTCGAGCAAACATCGCGATTGCAATGTTCGCATTTCCTTCCGTTTGCTTCCTTGTCTTTCTCCCCAAGGCCGGAGTCTGTTCAAAGTGTTATGGGTCACAGATTTTGTTATAATTTGAATTTTTCATTAATTAATGTAATACTACATAAACTTATCATCATCCTCAATTGATCTTGCTGGCCAGGTCCACAGAGCCTTGGTGTCACAGGCTCATGGTTGCAAGGATTTTGGTGCAAAATTTCTTGCGCTACGACCAGGACTTCAATGTGGGCAGAGTGGCCATGAAATGGCATGGGCTGATTGGATTGGCTTATCCCGCATTGAAGAACCGAACCATCGAGTGTCAGCTGATGTGCATCATTAGCCGTAGCTATGACAACAGAGCCAAGATTGAAGCAGCTTCAATCGATGTGGGACCCCATCAATGTGCGGGGTTGCTGCAATACATTGAATACTATGCAGGGAGCGCCAAACTTTCGAAGAAATTGATCGAATCCGGTCTCCGTGGGTGCAGCTTTGACATACTCTACAATGACGAACACAACATGTTGCTAGCGAAAGGGTTGCGTTTGTTTCTGGATGCAGCCACAGCGTGTGAGAAGAAGGCTTTGCATTGGTGGGGCACTCCGTGCTCTTCTTTTGTCATTATGTGCTCATTTCGTTCCCAACGTGCTGAAAGCAACGGCTGGGAAGGCGCATGGACTGAGCGGGACTTTGTATTGCAGGGAAATTGTCAGGCCCTTGTTTGCTCACTTGGGATTTTCCTGGGATGGGCATGTGAGTGCTGCCCTGTGGTGGAACAGCCCCTCAGCTCCTGTATGCCGCACCTCGAGTGTGTCAAAACAGTTCTATCCTTTTGTGGCTTCGAAAAGACTTGCACCTACATGGGTGCCTTTAACGGAAAGTCAGTGAAGCCCTTGCAACTGTGGCATTTGCCTGGGTTTCATTTTGAGAACCTGGCCAGGCCCAAACCAGATCATAATGCTTTCATTGGTCTGGTAAACCGAGGCGAAGACGGCCGTTTCACCGGTGTGCCAGCAGATGTACAGGCTAGTGGGGAATACACTTCGATGTTCGGGGAAGCAGTTGCGCAGATTGTCCGGAATCTATTGTGACGATCCGCTTCGTCAGCCAAAATACGTTTCATAGCTTACTGAGCTGCATGCTTTTTATTATTCAAGCCAATCTGCTGTGACTGGTTTTTGGGGTGTGAATGCTGTGACACAACAGCAACAGCAGGCCATGCAGCAACACAGGTAAAACAGTGCGATGACTGATGAGAAGGTTGCATAACAATTGAGACACAAGTCTGATTTGCTTGCAGCCTTATGTCGATGTGGCTGTCTCAGTGAACACACTTGGAGGAACAGAATTGATATGGCTCTTTCAGTGAATGAGTATGCGCCGGCAAATCAGGGCCTTGGACGTCGTTCTTGCCTTCTTTGCCCCACTTGAGGAGGATTCCTCAAGATTTCCTCAATTCGAATCGTCAACCTTGCCAAGCAATGCCATGCTGACTCAAGATTTCCTCAACCTTGCAGCAACCTGTTTAAGTTGACAGGTTGTTCTGAGCAGTGTGAGGAAACAATAGATGCCATCCACTGTGACCTTGCCCGATGTGCCCATGTCGGTGCAAGGGGTCAGTGGCATGGCACAAGTGAACACACTTGAGGAACAATTTCTTGTTGACAATTTGGGAGTCACACCTTTGCAGCTTCTGCCGGCTCTTGCACAGACGTCCTCAGCCTTGCGAAAACCTGTTGGTGTTGCCGGGCTCTCACCCGAAGAGCCATCAAGTTTCCTTGCTTGGGGACACAAAGGCCAGCCATCTAGTGTGACCTTGCCCGACGTGCCAATGTCGGTGCAAGGAGTCACTGGAATGGCACAGCTTCCGGTTGCTCTGTTCACACACCGGCTTGGACAGAAATAATACTACATTTTTTCATGGTTTTCTCAACAATTTTCAGTGTCTGCAAATCTCCAGTTACATTAATTCTGGACAAACCTACCGTGTCGTAACGTATCCAATAAGTCTTTGTTCAGGTTGACTTCTGATTTTGATAACTTTGGTTTTTGCCAAGCCCACTGATCCAGCCCCCGCGGATCCAACCCTACAAACGAGCATATTGAAATAAACAGAGGGCTTCGAGGCTGGCACCACCAAGGGTCAAAAAACTAGCAACTGAGTCATGGGAGAGGTGATCAAATGCGGAAGAGACATCGAGTTTAATCGCGATGAGGGGGAGTTTATACTCCTGCGAGAGGTGTATAAGATGTTGTAAACAAGTAGAACCGTCAAGTGTTTGCGAGCCGGGGATGCAGGCGATCTGATTCCCAGAAATAGGAGGAAAAGAAGGGCGGAGGCGAAACAGGAGAATTTTGGTAAACAACTTCGCGGGGGTAGAAGATAAAACAATTGGGCGAAGATCTTTTGGGGTGGATGGGGATTTCACCTTAGGAATAAAAGTAAGCTTGGAAATGAGCCAGGTGGGGGGAACTTCGGTAACCTGAAAAAGGACGGCGTTAAAAAGGTCAACAAGATGATCTGCAAGTTGTGAATGCATGACGAGTGTGAGAAACTCATATGAGATACCGTCATCCCCACAAGATTTACCAGTTTTAGTGGTGGAGAGGGCATTGAGGACTTCAGTGGAGGTGATGAGTGGTGGTTTGTCGAAAGATGAGACACGATCAAGGTACAAAGAAAGAGCCGAAATATTAGCGATGACGGGGTCTGAAGGGGTGTATTTGAGGCGATAAAATGTTTTCAGTTCTTGAGTGGCTTTCAAAACTCCACCTGCGCGTGCAATGTAATTATTATGCATTGTCAATGTGTTTTGTCTGCGTTTGAAGAAAGAAATGGCTCCAAAGTCGCCTTGTGCCCCACGGTCCAAGAGTTTGGTAAGCCAAGCTTGCTTAGCAGCCGCCCTCATGCGTAAAATGTCCTTACCGAGATTCCTAGCTTCCGGACCAGACAGTCTGCGACGCTGTTTGATCAGATCAAGTATATCGGGAGGGTCACGATAACGATAGCTTTTAGGTCTGAAGGAAACCCGTCTAGCAACCTCTTCAAGGTCCGAAATCTGGAAATCCCGGCCATGGAGCTCAATATCCTCAGCAAGTTGCTCGCAAGCTGGCAGCGCTTTGGTCCCATCGATTCTCCACTGTCCACAACGCACACATAAGATGGTTCATTAGGGTTTAGGGTTGAACTCAACCCCTCCATCTGCTACAATCTTTCACGCAAGAGGGCCAAACTTCGCGGAAGGGCCCAGTAAGCCGAACAAAACCTTGGGCAGCGAATCCGTCTGCAAAGAATCATGTAGATTTCAAACTTTAACACGAATTCTGGTGAATCTGCACATGACAGAAGATGCGACATATTTACCCGCCACAATATGAAGTGGATATGAACCGTCTATGAAATAGTCGTGAACCAGAGTATGAAACGGTTGTGATCTGCTCATGATCTTTTTTATTTCTGCGCTTCATGCATCTTCTGTGACTTTCCTGACTTCGGCATGTTACTGTATTTTCCCCAGCGTCTGGGGCGGCCTAGGGACAGGGGAGGGTGCGGGCGGGGGGGGGGGAGGGGGGGGATGGCTCAATCCTGAAGGAAATAAGGAAATAAGAACACATACGAAAAGCTGGAAAACTATGCACCCAGACAAATGTTTCAAACATATGAGGAAGGTGTGAGAAGCAGTTCTCATATGTTTAATACATATTCCCGGACGGACCCTAGCATAGTTCTCTATCATGGTTTTGAGTCATATGTTCAGTACATTTCTCGTATGTATTTCACAAATAGTAGCTTTCGTGGCATAAACATAGGCTTAGAGGCTTTCTTAATTAACATTAAGCTTGACCCTACATAGCTACTCCGTTTACAAGTTTGTCGTGGCTAGTTGTTTCTGCTGATGAAGGCAACTTCGGCCATCACGATCGAAGGAGGTGTCATTCGGGCAGGGGGGAGATCTGCAGTGAGGCCTGTAACACCCTGCACTAACCCCTACTGTCGACAAGCTACTTCCGTCCTCCGACCGCATAGCCTCCGGCAATGATGACCCAGGCAATAGCCAAGGCATAGAAGTTGTTGCCATCAGTGGCAGGGTTGTTTCGCTTGGAGACCGCCACATTGAGCACTGTGAAGGCCAACATGGCAGTGTAGATGAGCTCTGCCATCAGTGCGTAGGATAGGTGATAAGGCTCCTTCACCTGTGCAAGGAGAGGTGTCATGTAATGTACTTTCGGAGTGTTTAGTCTACCTGAGGTGTATTAGTACTGACTAGTACTAAGTTTTGAGGGTCCAAACGAACAAAGCTGAAGTGCTATTGGCTGACTGAGCCACAGCCACATCGGCCGAATCTGTGAACAGGCTGCAAGCAGCGAAACCAGCTGCAATGCCACCGACAAGCTGTGATGCGACATATCCCGCCGCTTTCAATGACCAATCACCGGTCGCCAAAGAAATTGCAAAGGTGACTGCTGGATTCAGGTGACCTCCGGACACTGCTCCCGTTGCATAGATCATGACCATCAAAGAGCAAGCGATTGAAGTAGGTGACCAGTTCTCGTTGGAAGCCAGCACGTTGCACACCACCTTGCTCAAGCCAGTCCAGGGCAAACCCTAAACCCAACACCGTACATCCTGCTCGACGTCCCCTGTTCTTCTAACATGCGTACAGCACCAGCCTCTAATGAGTGTAGGGCTAGTGGAAGGTCTGGAGGGTTCAGGTCTAGGTCAAGGCTTCGAGGTCGATAAACCTTGTTTCCAAGCCGTCATGTCAATGTGCCAGCAAGCTGCAGTAAAGACCAGCACGAAGGTGCCAAGGAACTCGGCCACATAGCAGGAGTACCAGGTCTCTTCCTTCTCCATCTCCGTCGGATGGGTCAAATAGAATGCCATCACCTACAGTAGAAGCCAAAAAAGTTGGAACATCATTGTTCCCATGCCCTTAAGGTAGAGTAGAAGGGACCCCAGCACTAATCATCCTAAATCCATGTTCCAACTTTCTGGGGTTCACTAAAGTGGGAAAGCTTCTAAGCTCGAGCGGGTTAAGTCAGGGGAACATTCTATTGCTCCAAAACAGACTGATGCACATGTGCATGCAGAATGCTTAAATGCAAACATAAGTACAAGGAAACTACCATATTGACAGGTATGTGTACGAACTCGCATACGATACACGTACATGAACACATACGCGCTTACATGTAGATTTCATTCGATTGCACATGTGCATGCACTTGCGCAAAAATACATACATGTGGGTATAGACATACAAATGCACGTGCACATACACACATACACATACACATACAAATAACAACACATACACATACAAGCGGTTACACATACACATACACACAGTTACACACACGCGCACGGGCATACGCATATGCAGACGCATACACCTACGCATACACACATACACAAAGGCATGCATACGCCCACACCCAGACACAGAGACAAACACCTACACCTGCAGCGAGAGCTACATCTATAGCTACAGCTACATCTACACACATGCATATATATATATATACATGTGTGTCTGTGCGTGCTAAGTGTCTGTAACCTGTGTGTAGGCATGCTTTTATACTTACTTACATATACATCCGTATATACAGACAGAGAATGAGAGGGTAATGGCATACACATGCATACACACGGTTAGCCTATTTATAACTATATAAGCGTTTGTGCGCATGTACTTGCTTCAAACCCAACGCCAAGGCTACTTAAGCGCCTTCGACATCACAGAATGCGGACCCTACAGCTACAGCATACGACCCGATTTAGGTTAGGTCAGGATCTCTTCGGATATGTAGAATGTAGTTCTTGCGATGCACGTTCGAGCCCTGCAAAGGGTAATTCACTAATCCCAAACTGACTAAAAGCTTTCTTGCCACAAGATCCCTAAACCCCGCAGCAACCATTGGGCCCGGTGGCGGCCAGCAGCGCTCCAGCGAACTCAAAGCCGCTAAATGCGAGCCTGGGGTTCTCGAGTCATGGGCGTATAAGGCTTCGGGGCTTAAAGGTTTATGTGGCTTCGGGCATTGAGTGGCTTAGGGTGGCAGGAGTTTACAGTGGTCTAGGGATTAGAGAGTTAGGGATTCAGTGGTCTAGGGTGAAACTAACATTTCGGATCTGGTTGTTGTGGGCTCTGGTGCTGAGGTTTGACAACCGCCAGCTCAGGAACTAAAGCTTGCATATGTTCGTATCGATGGTGTGTGGTTTTTGGGGGTTCGGCGTTAGTCTTTGCTGAGCCTTTTAGAATGAACTGTTTCAGCAGTCACGGGGTGCCGGGTCCTTCCTGTGTCGACTCCGCAGCTCAGTGCGGACCTGGGCACCGACCCAAATGAAGCGAACAGTTCCCTCTGAAATACTTAGCAGAACGATGGATTCTCATGGTGTCAGGCTACCTGAACATCCTGAGCTTGCGAAAGCTGCTGCTGGAGCACTCGGCCAACGACAGCAAGGAGTCTATACATAACAAAAATGATCGTAGAGCTCACAGCCCGTCATTGGCAGCCATATGCGTCTGAGGCCCGATATGATATTGCAACCCAGCCAATCGAAAACCCCAAACATAGGAAGTCCCAAACCACACGACAAGCCGACTGCAGCCAGTGGCAAATTCACAATCGCCGAACCAGTGCTTTCGGCTCCCGCGGGTGAGTAAATGGAGCTGGCCACCGTGAGTCCTAGTCACGCAACGGCAACGGGAGAAATTGTAGGTGTGGTGCAGGGCCTGGGTGACAAACGCTTGGTTCAGGCTGACCAGCAAGTTGCTTCTGACCGCAACAGTTCAGCTGGCCATGAAACTCAACAGGCAGGCAATGGCAGGCCCACTTGGGAAATGCGGGGTGAAGGCTCTCGACATCTCTGCAGAAAGCAGGGTGCCAGGTGGGCAGAAACCCGTGATGTGCTAGAGAGGTATTTTGGTTGGAACACTGCGATTCTAGCAAGTATGTTCGAGGTTCCAGCAATCCAGAAGCCTCTAAAGCATAAGTGGCTGCCCCGCTCCCGGCCCCCTGGGCTCTTCACTCAAGAATGCAATTCAAACTTTACTATCGGTCTGTCGACCGATCTATCTACCGATGATTCATCCGTCCGTCGATTGATCTACAGATAGATCGATGCCTCCGTCTGTCGATCTACCCTCAGCGAAACAATGGAGAGTGTCGGCGTGAAGGGGGGCGCTAATCTGTCTACTCCACTCGCTCCGACCGTTCCACTCGTTTCACTCTCGCTGCAATGACCTGCTCCACTCGTCTTCAATTCCTCGCCCCCCTCCCTTTTGCGGTCGCACTGTCCTGGGAGCGCCACTGAATCAGTTCGCTCCAATCGTTACACTCGCCCTGTGGTGCCTTACCGTTCCACTCGTTGCTGTCGCCTAGCTGTAGCGCGAGTGCATGGCGGAGTGGGCGAGTGGCGCGGACGGCTTCAATTTCCCCCCCGTGCGGTCGCAATGAAACAAAGTATGTATCTACCTATGAATCTGCCCATCTATGTATCTGTATCTATATCTGTGTCTATATCTATATGTAGTCTATATCTATCTATCCGTCTATTTATCTCTCTGTGTGTTTGCTTGCGTTTGTGTGTGGGCATATTCTGGGTTGGGTATTGCCTACTTGATATACCGGCTGTATATCTGGCTGAATTTTTTCTGAATGCAGCCCAGAATGACCCGCGCATGCACTGCAAACATTACGAAAAAGCCAGCCCCGAATCCCGAATCCCTCGGCAAGTCATCTCTAAAACATTCGGCAAAATCTTGGCAAACTCACAACCGCCCCATGAAAGCCCTGCAAAGCCCCTTGAAGCGCCCGGGCTCCTGTTGACACCGCGGGGTTCAGCTCGCCACCGGACAAGGCTCCAGCAGCAAAGCCGCCGGCAGTAACGCACGAGGCGATGGCCAAGCCGAAGTAGAAGTTCCTTCCAGGGAGGCAACCCATCGGTTCATAATTGTTTGCATCTCTTTGTCTGTCTGTCTATACATATATACATATGCATGCAGACAGATAGACTCACAAACGGACGGACAGACAAACATACAAACACACAAAGAAAACACAAGTAACTACTGCACGAAATTCCCATGCATACGTGCATCCATGCAAGTACATCACATCTAACGATTATACAACCGGGCTCCGGCTAAACCTGATGGACACGGTACTTCAATCCTGCACGCAGGCTCAGAATCTAAGACCCTCGACACATGGTCGTTCAGTTGCGACCGGACTGGCTTCGTTGCAGTTTTGTTTGCTTCGAAACAAGACTACGATGATGACCAGTCTGAATGCAGGACAATGACTCCTTTGACGATCGGTCAGGGAATGCCTAATTGTCAGGGTCGCGGTGCACAGGAATCAGGCCTTTGGGGGCTGAGGATGTATTTACATCTTTGCACTGGGGCCAAGCTCTCAGACAACGACTTCTCCTGATCAAGGTTAGTATTCCGACAGTCTCAGCCATGTCACAGGCTTCCCCGGATACATCGGTCAAACAACGACAACACCGACAATTTTGGTTCGGAGGCACGCGGATGCACATATGAAAATGTATGTACCTGTGTATGCATCTGTCTCTCTATACATATATACATATCTACACACTTCTTTGTCTATTCGCACTTACGTAGAATATGATGCATTACATTGCATTGATGCATGCAAACATACATACAGACATACATGCATGCCAACATACATACATTGATACAAGTAAGCAAGTATACAAGTGTGCAGGCACTCTAGGAGCTATTGACAGCTGGATGCTTCGAAATCGGACTCTGCGCGCCGCGGCTCTGCTTGGTGAGTTGCGAACCCGGCTTGGCGATGGTCGCAGTGGCCAGGACCACGTAGCAAAGGACAAAGGTGAAGACCTGAGTGTTGTATGTCAGACAGTTTTGGAATAATAAGTAATTTTCACTGAGCTATTGCGAGTTACCGTATTTTTTGCTATACGGGATTAGGGTCAGTTCGGTCTGTGGTGCTTGTCTGACGGGTCTTGGGATAGGTTACCACTGCAAATCGAGGAAGGAAGCCCCGCTCAAAACATTCAAAAACCATGCCCGTCCATGCCCATGCTACGTCCCCTGAGTCTTGAAACGAGATTCAGATGGATTGGTGGCTTGAGGGGCAATGTCCGGATGCAGTGGCTTATGTGGGATTTCAGTCGGCTTTTGTGCTGCATACACGGTAGTTCTGCCCTTCTTCTCACATTCCTGCAACCGGGCATGATACTGTCCGCTCGGAGTTTGTTAAGATGCCAAGACCTCAGTGATCCCGATCCGGAACAACCCCATTCCCGCCCTTGGTTGCGGGATACAGCAGCTACGGCAGCACAAAAACTAGCCTTTTCCAGGCCAGTGGGCCCGGATGCTGGCGTTCAATGAAGGAAACGGATGCTGTTGTAGAACCCCACAGTACCCTTCAAGTGATATAGAACCATGGTACTCTGCAAGGAAACCCTGTTGAAGAACCTGATAGCACCCTTCATGGGAAAGACTTCTGGAAGCTGGGATGAAGACCATCTCGGCAATGCCAGCGTCGACCACGCTGTGCCCCTTCCTGGGCTTGTTGTCAGAGCTTCGCGAGACACCAAACCACGAGGGCTTCGAGTGCAACTGTTTCCAGCAGCTGCTGTAGCAGCGCCAGCAGGAGTAGTATCTAGTAGTAAGAATCTCGGGTCTCAGTTGAAGATAGCCGGTATGACAGCTTGAGCAGAAAATCTGCAAGAGCCGCCCCAAGCATGATACGCCTGAACCTCAAGTATATTCCGGCCCCTGTCCTTACACCCACAATGTCGCCCTCCTGCGAGTACAGTGCCCTTCACGAAGAGTAGGGCTTCGAAGAATATCACAGCACAATGAGACAGGGGCTACAGTATGGATTATCGTTACACTACCCCCAAACGTGCAGACCCCCATTTTGCCACCATACCGGGCCCTATACCCACCTTAGAACCATAATAAAAGTAATACTTTTGAATATTCTCTTGGGTGCTATATGAACAAGAATAAAGAAAAATCCTAAAGGAGACATAAAAGTAATACTTTTAAACATTCTCTTGGGTGCTAAAATGAACAAAAATAAAGAATAATTCCTAAAGGAGACTACCGGGCCTACCTCCCCTTCGCCTTCGGAATCATCCCAAAGCCTGCTGGGACAAAGCCAGGGGACCCTGGCTGCAAGAAATGGGCGCTGTCCTTGCCGGTGCCTCAGCTTGCCGGGAGCTAAGGCTTATAGGGTTTTTCTTGGACTCCTTTTTACGCATGCTCGATCCTCCCAAGCCGACATAAGGCGCTTATAGGGTTCTAGGGTTTAGGGTTCCAGGGCTTAGGGGTTTAGGGTTCTAGGGTTCAGGAGTTTAGGGTACTAGGGTTAAAATTTAGGGTTTAGGGTTCTAGGGTTTGTAGGATTTAGAGGGACTGTATGTTTTTTTTGGGTTTTGGGGCTCAGATTACCGGGTTTCGACTCTCACTCTCAAGGAAGGCAAGGCTCCAGGGGTTTAGGGTTTAGAGTTCAAGCTTGAGGGTTGAGGGTTCAGGGTTTAGGGTTCAGAGTTTAGGGTTCAAGGTTGAGGGTGCAGGGTTTAGGGAGTTTAGGGTTTAGGGTTCAAGGTTGACAGGCAAATCGTCATCTGTGCACATTCAGGCCTTGACCAGGCTCGAGATGTTTCACTCTGAATCTGATTGCGCATACATCTTTGGGTTCTTGAGTCGTTCACCTGACATGATCTGCGGCCTGGGGGGACGCAGGAATATTTGGGCCGAAGTCATCCGAAAAGTCTACAGGACATCGAAGAGAAAGTGTTCTCTATCAAATCATATGCTCTTGGTGCCAGACTTCTTTTAGTCAGCACCTACTGGCAAGCTAGCTGGATCACGGTTGGTTAAGCCTTTTTGTCGTTGATCGGCTGTAGGTTATCCGAGCATCAACAAGTCAGGCTGAAGTGTCAGGTTCCAAAGCTTACTTTCGGTTAGTAGGGAATGGAAGAATGGTAGTGGAAGTAGTGGTAGTAGTAGTAGTAGTTGTTGTTGTTGTTGTTGTTGTTGTTGTTGTTGTTGTTGTTGTTGTTGTTGTTGTTGTTGTTGTTGTTGTTGTTGTTGTTGTTGTTGTTGTTGTTATGATTGTACCCCATTCCTCCATTCCCTACTAACCCAAGGTAAGAAAGTCTTGATGATTTACTCTCCGCGCCATCCCCAATCCTGCACCGGCGAGCGAATCTGACAACCGATGCAAGAACCCTAAACTCTAAACCCACCATTTAACCGTTTCACCAATGCCTATCAGATCCTGTCGCGCGAGGTGCCGATCTTGTGAAAGATGCTGACCTCAGCTCCGTTGCCGTCAAAACTGCGTGAAGACCAGGGTTTCGGATTTAGGGTTGTTGACCCTCATCCCTGGACCCGTAAAAAGACTGCAGAACCCTTAGGCCATTCAAGCGGCGTAAAGTCTCAGCCTAATTATCCTAATTATACCTAACTACAAGTTTATAAGCCCAATTTGCAACTCCAAAACCTGAACTTGTGAATCATCCAGCACAAAGAAACCTGATGGTCTCATCGGGATCATGCAGACTGGTGGATGTGTCCACTTACATAAGAGGCAGTGGGGAAAGCGGTGGTGGGATGAGGAATGTGAAGCAACAGAGAGCGAGGAGAGAGAGAGAGAGAGAGATATATATATATATATATATATATGTATACACATATGGTCACTCGCTTCGCGCCCCCCCGCCCCCAAAGGTCAATGGTCCGGATAGAGGGTGGGCCTCCCGGCCCTGTGGTGTGGGCGGGGTGTGTCCAACGCCCCCGGGAAGCCCAAACGCCTGACCACATATGCATATATGAACATGCACGCAAACAGGTACGCAGGCCGGCGCAAGCACGGAGTGGATTAGGAAGGTAGCATTGGGCCACATACGAATAGTTCCGCAATTCTTTCTGACTTGGGTGTGAAAGCAGTGAAGGTGGTACAAGTAAACACTTAAGCCGCATTTTTCAACATGAGCTTGGATTGCCAGCGAACGCTGAACAGCAGGGCCTTCTCGTTGGACGAGGGATGCAAACGCGGGAGTGAGAGAAACACGAGAAGTGACCAAGCGTAAGCTAAGCCACCTTGAACCACAAACCGAACAACCTCCAACATTCCTATACCCTACAGCGGCTTTGCAAACCCCAGATCGGCAATGCCCTAAACTTTTAAACAGTAGCCGGTCACCACCGGTGCCGATGAGGTGCGATGGCTCCTGCGCTGGCCCCTGCGAGAAGCTGCACCGGAATGTAGGTCCCGAACTCAGTCCAGCTGCACTTGCCTTGGACAGGGGGGGGCTTCGGATATGCACAAATTAGAGGCAAAGAGGTTTTGGGTTTTAGGGTTGAGAGCTGACAGGAATTTGGGCCTAACATAACTTTTATGCGTCCTCAGCAAGCCCCAACACATCCGAATCCTCATCGAAACACAAGATCCAGTTGACAAGACCACTAGGCTCTCTTCGGAGGGTGAGTGTCTAACTCGTTTCGGATTAGGACAAAGAGGCAAAGAAGGTTCAGGCATTTCGGCATTTCGTGGTTGCAGTGGTGGGAGGTTCAGAGTGGAGGGTATGTGTTCCGTTGCATAGTAGCTCAAAATCCGATGACCTTGCCATGACGACGGGCTTGCGGTTCCTTCCCATTGGGAGAAGTGAGTTTGGGGTTCAGGGCCTTAGGGTTTGGGGGTGGGTTTGGGCAAGAAAGCTCCAATCCTGTCCGGCAGCTCCATGATCATTTTCATTTTCAGTTTCGGAATTGGTGAGTGCCCTGAACCCCGAAAAATCTTAGGGTTTATCAGGCCCCAACACTCAGGTCTCTAGGGTTTGGGGCTTAGGGGGTACTTAAAGTTGGACAGTGACAAGGGCAAAGTTAGTGTCACAGCTTCTTCTTCGCTCTGTTTCGGTCTTTACTTTCGGGTGGGGCATATGCCAACATAATGTAGGAACCTGATTAAGAGACCTTGGACCTTTATTAGGGTTTGCTACATGAATCCTACTATTTTGGGGGTTATAGGCCCAGGGCTTCTTAATCAGGCTCCTACATCAGCATACAGTGGTGTTGTGCGGTCTACTTGGCTTTCTAGCGGTCGCGGTCGTCATGGTTGCCGTGGTGCTCTTTCACTGTTTGGGGATCGGCGCTGACAGACATGTCCATCCCATTCCATCCCTAGTCCGAGGCCCTAAGCGCGAACACCCTAAACCCCACAAAATCAGCCCCTGAAGCTCTGAACCCTACAACTCCAGAGCCCTGACAAACCTACGAAACAACACGCCTAAATTCCTAAGCCCTAAAGTTCTGCACGCCTATGGCTTGAAACCCTCAGCAACGTTGGTTTTACTACATTGACGTGTTCATCTTAGCAGGAAAAGAATGATGCAGCCAAAGCCACCCCTGAGCTTCACTGCCAGGGAGACAGCAGGGTTAAAGTGAGCGCCAGACACGTCCCCCAGTGCATAGATCATGCCTGCTGCGGGGTTGATTCAATTAAGCATCACACCTGGTTCTGGCTTTCTTCTGGTTTTTCCTTAGCCAACGACAATACGACCGTTCCTGGTTGTGGCTTGTGTTAGTTGGGAGGCACGTTGCAGAAACATCAAGCCTGGTCGCGGCTTTTGGGGCTGAGCGTCTTGAGAAGACATGAGGTTTAGGGCTCGGGAGAGTTTCAAGCATACGTACAACTTACAGCTCACACGCGAGCTATAGTGCTTGAAGGTTAGAAGGTTAAAGTTAAGGTGCTTCATGTGTGCTCCCCAAACGCAGTCCTGGACATCAGGCTGCAAGTTCGCGAAGCTGGCGACATCCAATGAACTCAGGCATACTGAAAACCTAAAAATGTGCTCCCCAAGGCTTCTAAGAAGGCTCCTGTGAATTTCAATCGTTGAAGGAAAACTTCTACGATCTAAAACCCTCAACCCCCAAAGAAAGCCGAGCTGCACATCAGCGCCGCTGCGGCCGACCAAGCTGTTGAGGCAGAGCCGAGCACCACGTTCAGCCTGCTGTTTTCCCACCCCTTCAGTCTTTAAGGGTTTCGGGTTGGATCCTTGGCATATACGGGACATGAAAAGTTGAATACGAATCCCTTAGGTTTCTTTAGTAATTATATATAACTATGAGATATTACCACCCAAAAAAACTCCGCTGTACTTGTTGAGGCTCCTGTTGTAATTGCAGGGTCTCATAGAACCGAAGAGGTCTGGGATTTTTTGGTGCATTTCGGGATCTGTTTTTTAGCTTGCTGCGAAGAGTATGGCTTTTGAGCGAGATGTTGGGGCCTGCAGGGGCAAGGGTGAATTTCGATGAGGTCCAGACCTCGGGTTTTTGGTGGAAGATTGAGGTTGGAGCAGGGAGATTGGGTGCTTGGGACTAACATCTAATCAAGTTTCATGGTGTGCAACACGGGTTTAGAGCTTTCATAAGTTTGGGGTTAAGTTGTATTGCACCGGGTATTGTGTGCACCAGCTTGGGGTTCAGGGCTTGGCTCGAGCTTTCCTAAGCTTCGTTGGAGGAGGGCTTCAGGCTCAAAAAGATACGGCTTCCGGAGACATGCTAAGTCCCCAAAACATCGTACCTACCACAATGACAAGCACCGGGCAGGATATATGCATATATATATATATATACATACTATAAATACATACCCCCGAAAAGTAACTACCCCAATGACAAGCAGCGGGATGTAGGGGTTGTTCAGCAAAGAGGCTCCTGGAGGGAAGGGATAAAGAAGCCAAGGTGCCCCACTGTAAGGACGAGCATGAAGGTACCCAAGAATTCGCTCACCTCCAGTCGTATCGGTTGTGGTATGTATATATATATATATATATATATATATATAGACATTTTCTATTACAGTAGTCCGGCCTCCAATACGTCTTGCGGACTAAACGTGGACAGAAAGCGAGCCTCTTGTGGAGCTCCCAGCACTGGGGGTTAAGGCCCAGCCCTCGGGACCAATGCCATGTGAGCTTCAGAGAGCACAGGACCCCACGATATAGACACAAAAAAGCGAACCTTAAACTTTCCTTTCTTGAGAATAATATAGGGTTCGGACATAATCTTAGGCATAAGTCTTGTAAATTCCTGCAATACAACACTGTCCTAGGGGCTGGCCCCGCTCATCCTGTCGCTCACATTGCAAGATTCTGTGAAGTCCCAGTGTCCACTTGAATGATGAAGGTATTGTTGAAGCAGGTAAACTAGACACCTACCATCGATTGCCTGAAAGTAATATGATAAGTAGGAGAGCGCCACTTCGGGTGTTTGTACCACTGTGTGGTTCTTTGAGACGGAAGCTGAGAGATGGAAGCCAGTTGGTCCTTGAAGAGGCTTGACGGTCAGTGTTTGAAGGTTTCAGCTTTAAGGCCTTCTGTTTTTGTTAGGGCCTGAAGCGGCTAAAAATTCACGAAACTCCAAGGTCCAGGAGATGAGACTTTCACCTGCAAACAGCGAACTACGGCTGCAAGACTGCCAGCCACGAGAGCTTTCATGACAACCAGTGCTTGCCTTTTGCAGGGATGCTAGGGTTCGATTGCTCGAAGTTTCTCCGGTCCCTCCTGGCCACCCGCACTTTCCCCCTCACCCACACGCACGCAAACACAAACATAAACATAAACGCATGCACGCGCGCACACACCCACACACAGACACGCACACGCACACGCACACGCACACGCGCGCGCTCGCGTAAGGAACGAAGGAACGCAGCAAAAAGACGAAATCTGGAATCTGGATGGCAGGCTTGCTGACTGGGGAAGACATGAGCGTGCACCCAAACCGTAAACATGTGGCCGACTCCTTCCCGCCTCTCTCCCCCAAACACCGCAGCCCTCCGAAAACAAAACCCTGCGAAGCAGAAGCAGTCAAAGCCCAAACGCTAATACAGGGGCCTTATTAATTAGAATAGGGTTTTGTGGTCCATTATACTATAACTATACTACGCAACCGCCACAATACCATCGGGAATTGTTAAAAACCCTATATTCGACCCACCACAATCTGCGGACGCTGGGCCAACTTCACGGGCAAAGTCGGCTCGTATGTGCTGAGCTCGACCAAGGAAAAGTCCTTTCGTTTGGATTCGTTTTTATGGAAGCAGTGAGGATTCTTTGAAAGCCTGTGCGATGTTCTATGTTACCTGGGCTTCATCCGGAAAAATGCAAAATCTGCCCAGGCAGGGCCACAAACCTCCGGACCCGAAGCCTTCAGCTACAAGGCCGTGCCTACAAATTTCAATGCGGAGGCCCTTGTCCCCTTCCTGGCAAATGCTAGTTAGTACCTTCACGATATCTGCAGACTCGTGACGCTTGATGGCTTCGGGGTCAGGAGTTCAGGCGATATGGCTAAGAGTTTGGTGTCTGTGAGTGTGTGTTCTTGGGAGTGTTGGAGCTTAGGAATGGAGTCTTCGGGATTTGGGTTCGGGATCTTTCGCCCATCGACTGGGACATCGTCGTGGGGGTTGACGAGGGCTTACTAGTATTTCGGGTGTCGGAGTCGGAGGTAGCAGAACATGGTTTCGGAGAACCTGCTCCTGGAACAGAACGGCAAGCTTGCACTTTTCATCAGCCATCTCCCAGCATCCCAGCCACTGAAACTGGTCGACACAAGAAACATCTGCAGCCTTCGAAGAAAGAAGCCTCATCAGACCGATCCAGTACTGGCTCCCAGGCCCTAGAGTATCCCTTGCCACAAACACCAACCAAACCCTAAAGACCTTGCAAACCTCAAACCCGGAAGCCCGGTTTTTGTCAAGGCCATGACCCGCAAATCCTTAACACAGAGCCCTGAACTTCTCAGCCCAGAAACTTTTGAGATTGCGAAGTTCTTGCATTACGGCTTAGCGTTTCAACTCGCGCACTCGCCCAAATTAAGAGTCTCAGCTTGCTAGGTGCAGACTGCAATTACGTTAAACGATAAACGACATTGATGTCATCCCAAATCGATCCCTTGGTTAGGGTTTCGACTCACGCACTCGCTCAAGGCTGGCATGGTAAGGGTTCGGGTTTAGGGTTCAACTGCAGACATGTCACCTCGGGCCGGACGAAGCGGAACGCCAGCGCTGCGCACCCGGCTCCGAACTGGGAGGGGGCATCTCTTACTGTTTTCAGGGTTTAGAGTGCAGGGTTTATGGGGTTTCTGTTACTACTATGTACTGTGGCTGTGGAGATTTATGGTGGCTCTTTTATAATACCATCACTGTATTGACAATTTCATGGGAATAAGATTTCGCTTCGGGTTCGGGGTTTCGGGTTGAAGGGTCGCGGCTCCGTGCGGAGGGTCCGAATTCAGAGCTCGGAGTTTTGGGGTTTCGATTTTGGTGCCTTCAGCTACCAGACCAAATTTTCTGTAGGGTCCCCCAAAAGTCCAACTTAAGGAGTATAGATGTGTTTAATGAGAGACGACAGATAAGCAGCCTATGGTACTTTAATGTAAGCCCTGAATTTGCGATTCCGGCCGGGGTTCGTCTTGGTGACCTTGAGGTCTCAGCTACAGCGCCGTGGACCAGGGGCCAACATTTCTTGGGCTTCACCAGGAAACCGGTACTGAGGCTTCATGGCCCTTACCGTGATTACTAGTGGATTGGATGTAGTAATGTGGGGTAGTTGGGAAGTTTAGGAGACGGGGAGCTGGGAACTCGGGGGGACAGGATTTAGTTGTATTTTGAGCTTCATGCAGGTGTTGGCATGCCGCCTACTTTTACAAGCTCCAGGGCTTTCGCATGGCTTAGGGCACAAAGCTGTCTGTGATTGCTGATCTCACGGAGGGGATCCACGCCCCTGCGATCTACCAGAGGCTAGAATCAACCGAACATTGGCTTGTGGACGAGGTGCAATCTCCATGCCCGTCCAGCCGAAGCCCCAGCTCATTCCTGAAGATGACCATGGGACATGTGAATTGTTTTTGAAGGTGATCTCTCGGCTGCAGGATGTTCTAGGGGTTCGCTGAACCTGCAATTGGCAGCTGTGGATGGGAGAATACAGTCTTTCTACTGGGTGGGCTGGTGGGCTTCGGGCTACGTCGAGATTCGTAGTGCGAATACAAGAGAGTGGGTTCTTGTTCAGGGGTTCAATTTAAACAAGTTACCATAAGAAAGAAGCCATATATTACTTACTATAGATGCCTATGATGGTAACTACGAGTACGGGAGAGTGCCTCGGCTTCTTCGGCTACAGGCGACTTGAAGGATTTCACTCTTGAAGGGCCCTTCTTTTGGCGAGCATCCGGAGTTGATGCTGGAGAAGTCCAAGCCAAAGGCGACGGCAGGATTGAAGCAAGCACCTGTGTCAGGCCCACAGAAAAATACCGTCAGGAAATGGGGGCTTTGAACCTGAGAGAGCCGATCTCACAGAACAAGGCTACCCTGGGAAGAGCAGCTTCAGGGAAGAAATGTGCTGCGCCCAGGACGACCCGGAAGGTGGCCCGAATCTATCAGGATCGGGACCCCGACCTGAACGACAAGCCCAAGACGTGTCCCCTGCTGTGCATCGTCGTTTGCTCCAGCCAGCTCATCGAGAATTGGGGCGAGTGTCTGAACCGCTGTGACACCCACCGATCGAAGCTGATCCAATCGGTTACAAGCTATATACTACAAGGCCGGCATTTGCACTTCGTACCTGGAGGAGACAGAAACAATACGCCTGCTCCAGCACCGCACCGCTGCAGCCACGACAACTCCGAGGGCTGTGGAAGTACCGCCAAACAAACTCTGATCTCTCTAAACCCCAAAACCCTGTGATCCCTGCAAGGGTACCTGAAACGTCTCCGGAGGCGTAGCCGCCAGCGATGATGACAAAGCCGATGGCCAAACCGAAGAACTGGTTGCCATCGCCTTCGAGCGTCAGGCTGTGGGCTGATGGTGGAGTTTAAGGCATAAGGCCATACATTGGGCTCGGAAAAGTCTGACAATAGTCTATCGGGGTTCAGGGGGCGCGGGGTGATAGCAGCTTCGGAGTCATCAGGTTCTGATCGGCTTGGTTTCAAGCCTTTGCGACTTCGGGCTTGAGTCTCTTCCTTCGGGGCTCAAAGCTGGCATGAAGCTCCCACGCTGAAAGTTGTCGAAGTGTGATCTGAGTCCAGATCTGGAGCGCATAGCCGCTGGCACATGCAAGCAGAAAGATGCAACAGGAGTGTGGTTGATGGTAGAATTTCGACCAGCGGTTCATTCAGCCCAGCCGTGATCCTCCGCAAAACGGGAACATTGGGCCCGAAGAGTGTGCATAGTGTGCAGCCACTATGTCGATTGATGCGAGGACTGAACCTGGGGCTCTCTTATCCATGCGCGGCCCAAAACCATTGAAATTGCCATCACGGCCCGATCCCATTTATTCACCGGGAGCTATGCTACCCTGCACACTAGACCCCAAAGTCTCTGGCTTTGCCTTCCCTTTCAAAGGCTCTGGAGTTTCATGGCTTCGGTGACCCCTTAAAGGGTACTATAGGGTTCTATAATAGGGTCCGTAAAGGGTCGGGTGGCCTTTCTCGTTGTTTCGCTTCGATGCCGCTGTGTTCAGGACCACAAAGCAAAGCCTCGGATGCTGCGGGAACGAGGCTTCAGAGTTTAGGAAGGCTTAGGGGTTTAGGGTTTAGGGGTTTACAGCTTAGGGGTTTGGGGTCTCGGGTATAGGAGAGGACTTGAAGATCTACGCTGCTTCTTTGTTTTAATTTTTGGGGGGGCGGAGTCGCATGAACTGAGAGGACGGCGAAGGCTGCAAGTCGGATTTCAAGGCAGTACCGGTGCAAACCTAAAGGGGCCTTAATGGCTAGAATAGCGTTTTGGGGCCCATCATACCATAAGCATAATATATTATGGTAAGGAACCCTTGCAGCTGGCTTTCGTCATTGCAGATAGGCAGTGCGATTCCCGGCTTCTGCACGTCAGCCGAGGCGCATGAAAGTGTAAATGGCTTCCACGAAGAAAGCATAGGGCCACGTGAAGTCGCCGACTGGAGCCTCATGGGACATGGCAGCCAGAGACTCCAAAAACCTTTAATCAAGGAATATATACCTTAAACAAAAATCGGATCCCTAAAATGATGTAAGGTATATTGCTTAATTCAAAGATTTTCGGAGTCTCTGGGCAGCCGAGAGATTCCAATGTGCCTGGGGTTTACAAGAGTCCCGTACCAGACTGATATAAGGGCCTTAATAATTAGAATAGTGTTTTGGTGCCCCGTACACGATAATCACAGTAAGGAACCCTAAAATAGTATAGTAGGTAATTATATGTAGGCCCCTATATTACCTTCCCCAGACTTTGAGAAAGAAGTCTGATTCGTTCTGGGATTTGGGAGTTCCTGGCAGGTCTTGGGCCCTGCGCACAATCGAGCCAAAACAAGCAGAACCCTAAATGTATACGGCAGGAAGGCTCCAAATTCATCTAACACAACACCCTCGAGAAAGTCTTGAACGGGCTTGTTTAAACGTGTCTCTAGCGAGGTTCAAGGGCCTGACTGTTATGGAATACCATCAATACAATGCTCATCACTATACTGTTGCTAGAAATATGGCTTGGGTAAGCTTGCGCTTGCTTTGTTAGGCTTCAGCGACGATGGCGAGGAGGGGGCAAACAACTTTTTAGTGCAAAATCGGATACCAGACCATTTGTATCGTACCGAATTGCAATAAAATGTAAAAACTGACGACAAGCAAACATGCAGCGACACACCATAGTTCTGCATAACATGGTAATGTTGACATTTTTTGAAACGCAGTCGCATCCAACAGTATACGGTATAGCAAGTATCACGCAATGCAGATCAGCAGGCATCATGACGAGCATGCTGTACGTAACACACTCCTTTCAACAAGCTTAAACACAAACATATGCAGCTAACATGCATGTATGTATGTTTGTATTTATGCAGGCATGCACCTATCAGTTACTTTATACAAAGTCTTGTTGTGGGCCCGGATAAAGCCAATACGCCAGGAAAAGATTTGAAAGGCAAGAGCCAACAAAAGCAGCAGTCAGATTGGCAAAGCCAAGCCGGGACAGGATCGGAGAACGGCGAAGCAAAGAAGCCAGAAAGCCAACAAGCCGCGATGCGGGAAAGCCGCGGAAGCCGCCCCTGCCGGTTAGCCGCGAAGCCACGAAGCGCGGTAGAGGTCTCCGTCTAAAGATGCACCGAATACACAAAGCCAAGACAACTGAAGAGCCAACATGCCGAGGAGCCAAGCCAAATGAGCCAAGAAACAAAACAACTCCAAAACGATCAACGATTCTTGGCAAACTGCACCTCCATGTGTATGTTGCATACACTGCGTGCACCGCCTTCTTAGCAAAAGCAAGTGGGCCCCCTCTCGGCTATGATTCCTGTACCCCAAGATCAGTGCTTGAAGGGAGCCTTAGACTACACTCTTGACCCTAGGACAGCATTTCCCCCCGAAGCCCTAAAGCCATTTGTAGGCGCCTTAATAATCGGAATAGGGGTTTGGGGACCATTATACTATAATTATAATAATGGCCGGGGTGCAAGAGGCGAAGCGGTCTCGAGACCGAAGAGGTTGGCTGCGCAGCTGCCAGCGGCAATGCCGGCCTGAGCTAGAACATTGGCCTACATACCTATGCAAAGGCTTTTGGGTCATGCTACACAAACAAACACGGCACCATGCCTCCGCATATCTCTATCGCTTTCATCTTTTCCCCTATGTTTATCTTGCTCTTCCCCTCTCTCTCTCTCTCTCTCTCGCTCTCTCTCGCTCTCTCGCTCTCTCTCTTTCTCTCCCTCTCTTCTTCTCTCCCTCTCTCCCTCTCTCCCTCTGTCCCTCTGTCCCTGTCTCCCTCTCTCCCTCTCTCCCTCTCTCCTGCTCTCCCTCTCTCCCTCTCTCCCTCTCGCCCTCTCTCCCTCTCTCTCTCTCGCCCTCTCGCCCTCTCTCTCTCTCTCTCTCTCTCTCTCTCTCTCTCTTTCTCTCTCTCTCTCTCTCTCTCTCTCTCTCTCTCTCTCTCTCTCTCTCTCTCTCTCTCTCTCTCTCTCTCTCGCTCTCTCTCTCTCTCTCTCTCTCCCGGGCATGGGGACGGGTCAGCGCCCCCGGGCATCATGCCCACCCGTCGTGTTGACGGTTACGGGGGGTGAAGAAAGAACGGCGAACAATGTCAAGCTAAAGCTTTAAAGTCTACGATAACGAAAAACAACTCTCTCTCTCTCTCTCTCTCTCTCTCTCTCTCTCTCTCTCTCTCTCTCTCTCTGCACGACTCTACGTAGACAACTACACAAAGATGACACACATGAAAGCATACACACAATCTATCCTCCATCTATGTTTCTACGTTTTCTATGCATGTATGTGGGCGTGTATGTATGTGTATACGGTTATGCGTATGCATGCATACTTGTTTGCTTGTATGGAAGTATGTATGTATTTACGCATTCATACATTCATGCATGCATGTGGGTATATAGGTATGTACAAGTTATGACTGCAGGTATGTACGGGTGTGCGTGAGTGTGTGTGTGTGTGCGTATGTATGCATGCATGTATGTATGTACGTGTGTATGTATGTAGGTGTAATGTATGCATGTATGTATGTATGTTCTATGCAGGTATGTACACATGCATGCATGCATGTATCAATGTAGAGGCAAATATGTACGTAAACATCTAAACATGTAAGTGATTATGATGTATGTATGCACCCATACATGAACGCATGAACGCATTCTTCTACGCATGTTCGCCGGTGTCTGCCATCACGCGTGCATGCATAGATACAAAAAATCAAGTGGCTATTCGTTGGCTCAATGGCATGGAGATGTCAGGTCACCACTGCATGAAATTCCTGTGAGCAAAGCAGGCAAGGGCCCGAAGGAGGCCGACGATTCGTGTGGATTGGCTTAATACTTGGCTCCCAAGCCTTGAGGAGTAATGGGGCGATCCCTGCAAGCCATGAAACCTTGCCGGTCGCACTTCAGCAGAACTGTCTCGCCACATTTTTGCCACAACCACTGCATGGCGTATGATGGGATGTATGATGGCCATCTTTCTTTCTTCCTATGTGCTTGTACAGGCATATGTAGATATGAAAGATTCAAGACGGCGGAGGATGGGTGGATAAACAGCTAGGTGCGTCGATAGATACATAGACAGACATACAGAGATAATAGGTAGATAGGCAGGTAAGTAGGCAGGAAGACAGGTAGATAGGTATAAGTAGGTAGGTCGACAGACAGAAAGATAGTTAGACAAATAAATGGATGGTTGAATGGATGACAGGCTGGATGCATAGACAAACGGATGGATAGATCGATCGATAGAAACACAGATAGATAGATCGACAGATAGTTGGAGTTCGCGAGGCATCGTGGCTGCCGAGAGAGAGGCCGTGATCTGGGTCGCGCAGTAGACAGGCACCTTCTCCCACCTGGGTTGGTTGGCGCAGAAACCTAAATTCGGGATTTGGGTGTAGGGAGTATGCGGCTTTTACTGTAGACACGGGGACTTGTCCCCGATGTGGGCGAGTGAGTGTAGTGAGTGAGTGAGTGGGTGGTTTCAGATTGCGGAGCGACAGGTTCGAGGGCTGCAAGTGTAATGTAGGGGCCTTAATGATTAGACTAGGGTTTGGGGGCCCATTCTACAATAATTACAATAATAAGGAACACCCAAAATAGTACCGGTAGTGTTCATAAGGGCCATGTTTTAAAGGCTTTCGGCACAGTGGCGGGAACTTCTCGGACCAGGCCAGGGCGAGCGTCACGGCAGGGTTCAGGTGACCGCCAGACACAGGCCCTGTGCCATAGACCATGACCATGAGCACCTTGAGGGGGGTTTAGGGGTTTAGGGTGTTTAGGGGTTGAGGATTTTAGGCTGTTTAAGGTGTTTAGGGTTTAGGGTTTGTAGGGTCTCGGGTCCATAGACCATGACCAGGAGCACCGTGAGTTTCAGACCAGTACTTTTCTCGTTATTGGCCTCTCTTACCTGGTGCTGCCCCAGGTGATTACTCTAAATGTTCGATACTCAGATACTCATGGTTCATGTCAATGCCAAGCCCGAAAGGCTTTCAGACATGTCGCAAGGCGTGAATTTACCAGACACTTACCCTGAGGCTCAAAATGGCAATGGCCCAAAAGCCTTCTATGATATGGTCTTTAGGCTCCAAAGGATTGAAATATGAGCCCTCCGAACCTTAGGGTTTAGCAGTACATCTGAATGTCTGGGGCCCGTAAGGGTCGTTTTTGCCTGCTTGCCCTCTTGTTCATCTCCTGTCACGGCCCTAGTGCCATCCCCAGCTGCTGACGATCAGGAGGCTTGCACTAGTAATGGTAGATCCTCACACAGATCTTCGCGCCACAAACATCAACTTCTGCATCCCCAAAACACACCCGGCATTCTGCACAGTTCAGGCCAGTTGAAGCACCCTTTCGGGATCGAGGCTTTTCTTGTGGACTGCAACTTGTAGTACCGATTGAAACACTCAAACATCTTCCCGCAGCCCTAGCTAAGAACAAGCCCGCGTGCCCACTGCCGCAGGGTGAAAAGGAATGCCTAAGATTCCAAACCAAGCCCCTACAGATACGGGGTCTAAGGGGCTCTTCGGGGCTCGCAGGGGGGGGATAGAGGATTCATTGTCCGTTTTTGCCTCGGGCTTTCAGAGACCCTTGGCGCAGGTTCAAAGCCCTCCCATGTCGAGCTTCCGCAACTCCGAGGGACGCATGCAATCGCCGTGGCATTCCAGACCGCGCTGCCGGTGGCCACACAGCATGCCACGGTAAAGACCTCAGAGCATGTCTTTAGTTGAAGCTCCGGGGCTTCGAACCCTTCCCTACAAAGCAAAACCTCAGCCTGCAGCTGTTGAATTCACTCACCCGAAATCCTGAAACCCAGATCTGGACCAAATCTGCGAGCAGTAGGTAGGCGCAGAGGCAAACAACCCTTCTTCCTGGGCCCCTAGCGCTAGCCTGTCTTCTTTCTGCCATGCTCTTGAGGGGCCTCTGGCCCAACGTCTGGAAAAAACCTTTTAGTGCTCAAGGCTCCTACAACCGGCAAAGGCCTCAAAAGGCCTACGACTCCGAATTTGAACCTCCAGGAGGGTCAGACGGTGGGCTTATGCTTGAGACCGTAAACAGCGGAAGACGCCGGATGATGCTGAGGAAATCAGGCAATGTGTGTGGTCCTGTTGGTGGTTGTGACGACGGTGACGACGAACCTCGTTGAAACTAGTGTGAGGTGCGTGCTTACCGTAGTTCTGTGACACTGAGGTGGCTGCGAGAGCGAAGGTCCCGAGAAACTCTGCGAAAATGGCCGAGTACTCCTTGCAGATTCGAGATGCAAGAAACACGTTGTTTGCAGAATGCACCTGTCGCCTTTTCTCACCGTGCGAGAACCAGACTGCCGAAAGCCAAGTGTACATATGAACTTATCGTATGAAAGACACAATTTACGTGACGTATACATGTGTCCCTGTGCATGCATGCACGCATGTGTTCATGGACGGGCGGGGATGGATGGATGGATGGATACATGGATGGATGGATGGATGGATGGATGGACGGATGAATGGGCAGACGGACGGATGGAGGGCGGACGAACAGTCGATGGATGAATAGCTGTATGCATCTACGTAGCTATACCTTCCTGTACGCATGCATGCATGCGTGTATGATGTATGTATGCAGGTAGGTTTGTATCTGGAACTGAGTATAGATGTGTCGATGTCTGTCTGTCTGTATCTACGTACGTGCATATGTACATATTTATGTGTTCGTTTGTAGGGATGTCTGCCTGTCTGCGTGTATGTATGTATCTATGCATGTTGCAAGTGTGTATGTGTGTGTATGTATGTAAGTATGCATGTATGTATATATGTATTGTAAGCAAGCAAGCTAGCAAACAGGCTGGTAGGTACGTAGGTAAACAAGCAATCGGCAGGCGAGCAAGCGAGGAAGTAGGTAAGTGCCGGAGCATGACTCCCCAAAGTGTGTGCCCGAAGGTGAATTACAAAGATACTCCAATCACCAGCGAACAGCAGCAAAACACGATCACAATAACATCACCTCGATCAGAAACAGACAGGCATACATCCAACACTTAAGGCTCAAACTAGACTAGTTTCGGACACAGCACCCGAGCACAGTTGTCGGCTGCCACAACATGACCCGCCGACTCTGAACCTTAAACCCCGTTTCGTCAGTCCTGGACTGACTCGTAGGTCTTGTCAAGCACGAAGAGCCTCAGCTACAAAACAGCGGTGGTTTGCTTGCTATGTTTTGCATGGCTTTATTGAGGTTCTAGTCGCAGGATTTCGGGTCTTGAAGTCTTAGGACACAGCTTATTTCGGTTTCGGACATAGCCTTCGATGCTAACGACGTGTGCAGCTTTTTCTTGTCATGTTTGTTTTGGCAGAAACCGATCCTGGCGAGGTTTTGGAAGTTCGGCAGATTGAGACATGGGGTTCAAGAAGGGATTGCCTCACCGCCGCACCGTACGTGAACCTTGTCATTGTCCCTCAAGGTTTGTGCAGATGCCCGCAATTTCGAAACCTTTATACGCTTCGTTTAGTTGGTTGGGGTATACCGCGAGATCCTTCCCACGACTACTCGTGCAAGACGAAGCAACGCAATGGCCGCCGCAACGGTAATCGCCACAGGCAAACCCAGCCCACCTGAAACAACAAAACACAGCAGCTTTTCGGATTAGGGACGTTGGCAAACTAAATCGTCAAACCCGCAACCGATCAAGGATCGACGGCCGAAGGGTGTAACCAAAGGATTGTGCACTTTCTCTGCCTTCTGAATGCCCAGGTCAAGCTTATGAAAACCGCGGTTCCCTGCATTGTATGTTGAGCTTGGCTTGCATGCACATGCCCAAGCCATGAACATGTCTACTCTTGCTGCATGCATTCCTCAGAGCATCCATGCCCCACCTGTGACAACCGGCCTCCTACCCGGATTGGACTGCATCCTTGCCCCATGAGTCCTAATCCTTATAGGATCCCTCAGAGATCCCCTTAAAGCAACCTTATAAAACCACATAAAAATCCCCTGCCAAGTACGGTAACATCCACACGGCCTGGCTCAACATAAGGATCCCACGAAGCGGTTCCCTGGCTTGAAGAAAAAAAGAAAAACAAAGACGACCCCACGGAGTTTAGGGTAGAGGGTTTAGGGTTTAGGGTTTCACCTAACCCCTGGAATACCTCCAGCACAATTTCTCTGATTTTGAAAGTCAACTACCAAAAAATCTATGGTTCAGGGTCTTGGCAAGCATGATGTAAGGCTTTGGGTTTATCCACTATAGCTGCCGTACTCATCCTTCCGACACCTACAGCACGCATTCACCCTCAAGGCCTGGCCCAAATATATTGTGCGACATGCTGAAATCTCCGTGCGCCTGTAGCTGCCTCCACGGCATTGCGTCCGAGCCTTTGCTTTGGGGCTACGGGGTGCTGAAGCAAGCAAGTTTCAACGCTTAGGGCGACGGGTTTAAGGCTCTTAGAGCCGTGTTTACAAGAGTCTTTGGAGGCTCTCAAGGGCTCGAATCAAGCTCATGGTGCCAAACAGGGAAAAGAGCTTCAATGTGTTTCCCACGTGGGTGCACGGACCGCATACCTTCCATCATACCATGCCGGAATCCGAATAACCCGGAACCCGAAACCCTAAAACCCCTTAAACCCTGCACTTCCGAAACTCTGAACTGCTCAGGCCTACTTGCTGGACTGCCTAACCCTTCCAAAACCACGTTCGCCTGAAGCTTTCTCAGCCTGCGGTGCTTAATGGTGAGATGGTTCTCGGGCTGTTTTGCTTCTTAATCGACATGCTGTCCGATATTCGCAAGACTTCCCGAAACATTCATGATAGACCATACTCTAACGAACTGGTTCACGGGAGCATTCGCACTGCAGAAACCAGCTTGAAGAAAACAAAGAATAGAGTGACAAAAGTACACACACTGCCTCCTTCAGTAGTAGTACAAGGGTAATCCGACACAAAAGCACGTGGCAGCTGCTGTCAGGACAGGACAGCTTGCACACCCCTATGTGCACATGCATGCAATAGCTGGCAAGCCGATCGCGAGAGTCAGAGGATGACAAGGACAGAGGAATATATGTGTGTGTGCACATCTTCGCGCACACACACACACCGATGCACATAAACAGTTCCATCAGTTTGTAATGTAGCATTGCAGGCAAGACCGTGCAAACACTTCAATCGACAGCTGCTAATGCGGCACATGATAAGACTTAGTAATACTGTAGTATCCTCTGATCTCTATATAACTACGGTATCTTGCAGGTCTTACTCTAACCATTAAGGGTGGTGATCAAAATTATGGTCCCTGTTTGGGTCCCTATTGTAATACGGCACCTACCATTTAGGGTACCCAAAAAGGGACCTTGATTTTGACAACTACCCATTAAACCCTAAACCCTAAACCCTAAGATGCTGACAGGCAAGCGGCCCATGCTGCCCGAAGATCGTCGCATGCGTCACGGTGTGGGACTGGAGGAGACTGACCTTGACAGGCGTTCTGAGGCCTGCTCTAGGGGCCTGAATATTTAGACTAGGGTTTTGGGGTATAGGATACTAATTATAAGTATGACAAGGAACCTCCAAAATAGTATTGGTCATAATTATAAGAAGGAACACCCAACATAGGTATTGGTGATTCTTCAGGCCCCTATGTTAGACTGAGGGATGCCGTAAGTGTAAGGGCCGAGCTGGGTTGAGGCTACAGTGTCGCGAACAAGACGTTTGTTTCATTTTCGTTCACAGAGGAATGCAACCTGAAACCGTTGAGGATCATGTCTCAGGTATTCAGGGAGATAACTGCTCAGCCCCACATATTCCACCAACGCTTTGAGAGCACGACTTCTCATCTAGGCCATTTTGCACGGACTTGACCCTGTCATTCTGGAGATGACTAGCTCCCAAACGTGGCAAGGCCTGCAAATGCCCCAGACGCTATTCTGATGACGCGGTCTGTAGCAGCGCGACACAGACACATACTTATCTCCAGTCAGGATTATCGTCTGTCTAATCGACATCACCTCTCATTCATCATCCTCATGGGGTTGCTGCTCGGCCGACTCTGCCTGCTCATCATCAGCCTATGGGCCTATTGGCACAATGGCCATAGCCGTATTTGCGGGTAAACCAAACAACAAGTAGCAAGGGTCCTCCTAGGGTGAAGAGCAGATCACCTGCTGTTTGTCTAAACAGATTGACTTTGCCTCTCATTGTTGGTCACAGCACTGATTGTATGGTCACAGCACTGTGCATAGTCAACAGAACAAGAAGAAACATACAAAGACACCCACACACACACACCCCTCCAGGACCACTCGCCGCAAGTAGCCCGTGAACTGTAGGGCTAGCAAAGCAGGATCACGCACTCACAAGATTACGGACGGAAACTTTGAAAGTTCTCAACCCAAGCAACGACACTGTAAAGAGATCAAGGAGTACAAAGACCGTTTTATATGGATAGTCAACCTCAATGATGAAGACCCCGGCTCACCAGTTCACAGGAACTGGACCATCTGATATTCGTGCTTCCAGCACTCTGCAGACCACAGTCTTGCATGTCAGCATTGCCGTCGCTTAGTTAATCCGAGGCACTTCCGACAATCGGGACACATTGTCGGGCTCGTCCGCACAGTCTTCCTGTCATTCTTGCATGGTGACAGTGGAACCAGCGAAGCATGGGGTTTCCATCTCAGGAGGCACAGGGATGCCAAAACTAATTCTACAGCATCATGATGCCTTGGGTCCGACTTTCGCATCTCGTGCACAGTGATGAACATATAGGTACATGCGGTGCCGCCGCTACCTCCCAGTCGGTAGGATGAACACGAGATGGAAAACACGAAACCACACGCCGACGACAGGTTAAGAAAGAATCGGTGACCGTCGGTGACCTGTTTGAAGTAGGCTGCACTGCAAAATCAAGTGCTCGCTCAGGCTTAATAATTAGAATACTATAACTATAATCCCGAACTCCCAAACTATTGGTGAGCTTTAGCACTGGCAGCCTCGCCTCCTGCGGCACTGATGCAAGTGTTGCGCCAAGCGCCAAAGTGAAGGCCAGAAGCCTCTCCCATCTACCGAGAGCCTCCAAAACCCCTTCATTGAGGAATATACCTTAAATTATAGTAGGATCCCCTAATATGATTTAAGGTATATTTTGTAATTAAGGGGTTTTGGAGGCTCTGGGTATGGGCTACATTGTCAAGCATCAAGCTGTGTCGGAACGCACTCTTGTACAGACTTGCTTGAAATGCACTCAGATCAACTGTCATACTTGGCCGACTACAATTTGAGAAATCAACCTGCAGGGCTGGGTCGAATGTGTCGATTCCACCCTTGAGGCCAACAGGAAATCAGTGCACCAAGTGATTCTTGCTTGCTCCTTCCTGTACAGGTGGTGTTCGGGGGTCAATGTGGGGTGAAGCGAAGAGCAAGTTACATGAGGATTTCAGACCCTACAGTAAGCCCGTTTCAGATGTAACATTCTGCACTCTCGCCTTGCAGGAGTGGCACGCGGCCCATGGTGCAAGAAGCAGAGATTCGACCTGCCCTTGTGGAGATACTCCCCATATCTTTAAACCGCAAGCGGTGGGACATCCCAGACTACTGCAAGAAGCATTGGACATCGGCCACTTCCATGCTTGGATGGGTGGGTGGATGTATAGCCGGATAAACGGATGAGGGTGATAGACGCATGCATGCATTCACGAATGCATCATGCATGTGTTACAACTTATGTATTCGTCTCCTGGTTGATCTCTACATCTAGATACAGGTATATACCCAATTCATGTTGCATTTCCAAACTCTCTTATCTCATTACCTCATACACACATATGTACACACAAACATGCACATGTAGAGATACCCACATACATACTATCTCTCTCTCTCTCTATATATATATATTTATGTATGCCAGCTCGCGGGTCTAGGGTTTGGAACTTGAAGGTTCCGAACTGAGGGCTTCCAGGCCCTGGCTTCGCACAGTTGAGGCGTCGAATTGGTAGTTTGCCCAAATTTCTGTACTTGAGACTTAGTCCTTGCCGTCCCTTCGCAAAAACTCGATACCCAACACCAGACTGCTGCGCCTCATCATATCGAAATCTCGTACCTCAGCGAGAGTCTGGGTGTTTAGGGCTGAGGGCCTGGCATTGGTCAACGGATTCTGTGCTTTTCATGAATGAATGCTGGATGTAGCATTCATGACGCTGCCACTCCGCGGCACTACACAGATCAAACTCGAGAGCATACACGGTAGGGCTTGTGTCAGCACACGATACACTGCCCGGGAGTACGGCTCTTTTGACTTGCGAAGGCTTCGCAACACACTTCACTAGGGGGATTCAAATCGCAAAGCCTCGTCTTACAGTCGGTAAACTTCGACAAAAACTCCTGTGCTCGGAGTTCGAAGTGCTACGCTTTCCGAGACAAACGACAGCGAGAGTTTTTTTTACCGAATGCATGCCATCTTCCCTAAACCCCATTCTATAAATCCTATAGACCCTCAAACTGAATGCCGGGGTGCGGTGTGCTTGCGACACAGTAAGTAAAGTCGTGTACTATGCAAAAAGGCGCCACCCCGGAAAAGGCGGGCTTGAGCCGAAACACCAATCCGACTTGCAGTGTTTCTATG